CTTCGTCTGTGTATGGTTGGGGCTGGCGCAGTCTTCCTGTGTGAAGCGCCAGACCCCTTCACACCATGGAATGATGATGATGATGTATGTTTGGGGCTGCATTGCAATATTGATTGTTCGGATCATTGGTATCTAAGTCTTCCGCTGTGCTATCTTATACTTTGTATTGAAAGGTCGGTTCTTGTTCTGGTCTGCACCTATACGGTATGCAACAGTTGTTCTTGCTGATTTTTTTCTCTGTACTTTTTACCTGTCAGAGTGAGCATGGTCCATTGTTTGCAGTGTCTGCAGACTCTTAGGGGAGCCGCTCTGTTCATGATGTCTGTGTGGTGCATATGGTCTTTGGGTAATGACAGACGTTCGTCGAAGTGACTCTCTGGCTCAGCGGGTGGTGTGAACCAACAATCTGCGCAGGTCACCCATGATGTGAGTAGGTGATGTGCCGCTTTGCTCCGTGTTGGATGTGTAGACTGCCTTGCCTTGTCTGTGCTCCGCCGCTGCCTTGCTGCTCGTCCCGGTTGCTTCGCTTGTTGTTCGTTTTGGGCTGCTGTGTTCACTGTGCGGTGTGGCTGTGGTGTTGGTGTTGCCCTGTGCTTCACTGCACTGCTGCCTTGCTGTCCATTCACGTGCCATGCCTTCTGTGTTCCTTACTTGTGTGCCGTGTAGTGTGGCTGCAGTGTGGTGTTGTGTTGTGCTTCGCTGCTCTGTTGCCGAGCTGCTCATCCACTTGCTCTGGCGTTCCTTTTGTGCAGTCAGGTTGCTCTGGCAGCATTGCCTGGTGCTTCGCTGAGTTGTTGCCTGCTGCTGTGTTCCGCTTGGGGACAGTCTGCCTTCAACATGGGTCAAAGGGTTCATGACCCAAACCATCAATACGGAGATTCCACAGATTGTCGAGGGTTCAGCCTCCTGATGAGTCAGTGCAACTCCGACCGAACATTCTTTCATCATCATTTTTTACGGTCTTTGCTCTTTTTTGGGACTTGTATTTTTCTAGTCGCCTTGTCTTTTGCCTTGCTACTTTTCAGCTTGCTGTTTTGTGCTGTTTGTCTGCCCACCCATCTTGCCCATACCCTCCAGCCTATGACCTTTGCTTCACTGTCCTTCACTGCCCAACTCGCGTTGCTGTATATTTTCATCCAACCTTTGTGGCCCCCTACCTTGAGAGAGATAGAGATCTGCATGGTGGTGGGCAGCAGCGGCCGTCAGTGGTAGGCAGCACCAGGTGATGCCTGCCACAGAGAAGAACTCCAGCATGCACTCTCCAACATGCACTTCAATACGCACTTCAAGGCAGTCAGTGGGAGGCAGCACCAGGCAATGCCTGCCACAGAGAAGAAGTCCAGCGTGCACTCTCCAACATGCACTTCAAAAGACAACAATATGAGTCTGTTGATCCTCTCTCTCTCTCTCTCTCTCTCTCTCTCTCTCTCAACACACAGACACGCACACACACACACGCACACGCACACACAC